TTCGAATTGCCAAGTAGTAGAGTGATAAAGTAGTCGAATGTTCAAAACGTCGAATGATAAAAACGTCGAATGCTCAAAACATCGAACTGTCAATTCGTCGAATGCTCAAAACGTCGAATGCTAAAAACATCGAATCGTCAAAAGTTCGAAAAAGTTCTTTGTTTTCAGTAGACATTAACTTAAAACAAAGAACTTTTTCGAACTTTTGACGATTCAATGTTTTTAGTATTCGACGTTTTGAACATTCGACTACTTTATCATTCTACTACTTGGCAATTCGAACAGATGGAGTTTCGACTACTTTATCATTCGACTACTTTACCATTCTACTACTTGACATTTCGAACAGATGGCGTTTCGACTATTTGAGCATTCGACGAATGGACTATTCGATGGTTTTACCATTCGACTAAATGACGATTCGACTTTTTGAGCATTCGACGTTTTGAACATTCGACATTTTTATCATTCGACGTATTGACAATTCGATGTTTTTAACATTCGACGTATTGACAATTCGATGTTTTTAGCATTCGACGTTTTGTCCAATCGATGTTTTTAGCATTCGACGTTTTCTCCATTCGATTACTTGCCATTCGACTATTTGATCATTCGACGACTTGGCGATTAGGGGATATGCATGCGTCTCGCGTTACAGCACATTTTCGATTCATGTTGCGAGACTCAACCCTGAATTCTTCTACACGCTGCACGCCCCAGAAAAGTGTCTAGCAGAACACAGGGTTGAGTCGCGCAACATGAATCGAAAATGTGCTGCAATGCGCCCTCTTTTTTCTCAGTGCATATATTACATAATTTTTATAAAGACCTATTGGTGTAAAAATGTTATAAACAATTAGCCTGCATGCATACTTTATGAGGTATAAGGATCGTTTTTGAAGTTAAAGATTTTTTTAAACAAATAATTAGCTTAATCAGGAGAGTTTTTGACGTTAAAAATTTTTTAAACAAAATTTTTTCCTCAAAAACTATTTATGTAAGTGGAAATAAATAAGTAAAATGTCTTCCGAGCGAGCGAGGAATATGACGCTAGTTAGAAATTAAAAACTTCAAATAATATAAAAAATAACCGCAATTAAACTTTCTCAAAAAAATTAATTCCACAGAATTGTTAGTTAAAAAAATGAAAAATTCAAATTTTCAAAGATTTTAATTTGAAACCTTTTCAAAATTCCATTATTTCTAAAAATTTACGCTCTATAATGCTTTTATTAATGTTCAATTATAATCTAAAATTTTAACTGAAATGCATTTTAAAATCAACTTTTATGAGAAAATTCTACTAGAATTCAATTATTTAAATACAAAAAACAATTTATTGAATAATTGCATTTTTTCAAATTATTGATTCTCATAAAGAATTTTATTAATAAATTCTTAAATAATTGAATTCTTTTGACGAATTTTAATAAAATTTTTAAGAATAATTGCATTTTTTCGAGGAATTCGATTAAAATTGCATTAAAAGTAATTAAAATTCTGCATTGAGTTTTATTATTTATCAAAATAATTGAATCCCTAATAAGAATTTTATTATTTACCAATATGATTAAATCCTTGTAAAAATTTTATTATTTATGAAAATAATTGAATGATTGCGAAGAAATTAATAAACAAATTTGTAAATAATGAAATTCCTGAGGCATTTCACGTCAGAAATATCACGATTTGCAAAGGGTCTGCCCATTTTCGCAAAACTTCGTAGGATTATAGTTCTATATAAAAGATTTCTTCCCCTAAATTTTTTCAAAAAAAATTCAAAATTGTTGAAGATACGCCATTTTGAATTTTAATATTAATTTTATAAAATTTTGAATTTCTCAAAATATTGTTTATGGATTTTTATGAAATTTACACATTTTTCAGGTAAAAGTATGTACTTTAGAATGCAAATAAAGTTAATAAAAAAAAATTAATTTTTAAATAAAAAAATTTAAAAAATTTTTTTAAAACAATTTTTTGTTTATTTACTCCTCTCTGAGAAAAATGTTATTAACATATTTGGATTCCTTGTGAATTCACCTTTAATTTCATAAAAAAAAATTGATGGAGACTCAACTGGTTCCGGAGATATTGAATTTTTTGTAAAAAAAGCGTCGCCGCGCCATAGCACCAAACTGCACAAGTCGCGTAGTACGTTACCGCAGTCGTGCATTGCTGCTGTAACTATGACTATTTTTTACAAAAAATTCAATATCTCCGGAACCAGTTGAGTCTCCATCAATTTTTTTTTTATGAAATTAAAGGTGAATTCACAAGAAATCCAAATATGTTAATAACATTTTTCTCAGAGAGGAGTAAATAAACAAAAAATTGTTTTAAAAAAATTTTTTAAATTTTTTTATTTAAAAATTAATTTTTTTTTATTAACTTTATTTGCATTCTAAAGTACATACTTTTACCTGAAAAATGTGTAAATTTCATAAAAATCCATAAACAATATTTTGAGAAATTCAAAATTTTATAAAATTAATATTAAAATTCAAAATTTCGTATCTTCAACAATTTTGAATTTTTTTTGAAAAAATTTAGGGGAAAGAAATATTTTATATAGAACTATAATCCTACGAAGTTTTGCGAAAATGGGCAGACCCTTTGCAAATCGTGATATTTCTGACCTGAAATGCCTCTCCTGTGAAATTTTTATTATTTTTTGAAAATAATTAAAGGTTTATGTAGAATTTTATTAAATTGTTTTTTAAATAATTGAATTCTTTTGGAACATTTTATTAGAATAGATGCCTATTAAAAATCATTGAATTGAGAAAAATTTTTGAAAATAATTGAAACTTTGCCAAGAATTTTATTAAAATTTTTGAAAATAATTTAATTTCGGAGAAGAATTTAATTATTACTAAAGATAATTGAAATTTTGACAAGAATTTTATTCCATGTATAAAGAGGAACAAATTCTGAAAGTATTTTTAATATTGCTAAAATCATCGAAAATTCTTATGATCACTTGGCGTGGAATTGCTCTGAAAAAAAATATTCTTAATTTAAGAATATGTACTAAAAAAAAGGTGCCTAGAATATTCCCCACTTAAATTAAGTGGTAAAAAATTTCATAAAATTTGTTCCAAGAATTCAATTACTTTCATAAATTAATAAAAATCTTCACAGGATTTCAATTATTTTTAACACAATTTTAAGCAAATTCTTCGAAAAATGTAATTATTTTCAAAAATTGTATTAAAATTCTTCGAAAGAATTCAATTATTAACTATTTTTAAAAACTCATGCTATTAATGCTTTTAATATATTATATTCATTAATATTAATTTTTAAATCAATTTTTATTGGAAAATTCTACGAGAATTCAATTATTAAAATACAAAAATAAATAATTTACTAAATAAATGAATGTTTCTCTAAATTGAATTATCATCAAGAATTTTATCAACATAATTGAACTTTTTCGAGGAATTTTAATAAAATTTTCAAGAATGATTAAATTTTTCGTGGAATTTGATTAAAATTGTATTAAAAATAATTGAAATTCTATAATGAGTTGGATTATTCATGAAAATAATTGAATTTTGGTAAAAAATGTGATTATTTATGAAAATAATTGAATTATTGCGAAAAAATGTGTAAATAGTTGAATTCCTGTGAAATTTTTATTATAAATAATTGAAATCTTTTGAAAAATTGTATTAAAATAGTAGATATTGAAAATCATATTGAATTGAGAAAATTGGAAAATTTTTTGAACATAATTGAATTTCTGCGAAGAATTTTATTACTTTTGAAAACAAATAAATTTCTGCAATCATTTGTAACTTCTCTAAAATTCAATTTTTTTCAGTACTTTAATAAAAATCCCTGACTTTTCCCTGATTTCCCTGACCTGTGGCAACCCTGAGAAATATTGAATTTTGAAATGATTGAATTTGAAATTTATATTATTTTAAATTTTGATAAATTGAAATATAGATGAACTGAATTAAAGCTTAGTTAAAAATAAGATGAATTGGAACACGGAAAATTAAAAATTTTGACAAATTAAATTCCAAGTCAACTACGATTTTAAATGATAAAACTTTAAAAAAATTAAATTCAAGATCTATTAAAATACAAATCAGTATAAACTTTGCAGCAACTAAACTTCTTATTAAAAATATTTGAAAAATTTACAAAATATGCGAAAATTGAGGAAAAGGAATAGGTGAAATTGGTGGCAGAATTTAAAAAAGGTAAAAATGTGACATTAAAATTTTCCAAGAAACTTAATTTACTTGATACTTGGAAATTTTAGAATTATTCTAAAATAGTAAGTATTAATCTTAATAATCGAATTTAAAATTTTTTTTATAAATATCTTCTACATGAAATTAATTCAAAATTGTCATTAAGGTAATAAACAGTACGAAATAAAATAAAAACAAAGAAAAATAATTATAATGAAACTTGAAAAGGAGGTCATTTAAAAATTATCCATAGGTACTTGCAATATAAGCAAATTGAAATATGGACAACTTATAATTTATATTATATATTAATTAATATTTCAATTTAATAAAATTTAAATTTACTACTTTTTTTATATTAAAAAAATGTATTCACTTACAATTGATTCCTTAGCTTTATCAAAACATAATTGTGTCACTTGTATAAAAAAACTATTCAAGAATTCTTCTTCGTGGTCCATAACTCATCATTTTTAAAAATTACAATAATCATATAAATGTCCTAAATGAAGGTATTCTGAAAAATAATATCAAACGTAAAAAGTTTTTCACAGAATACTAATAAAAACATGTTAAGGTTATGTTATGACATTTGTGAAATGTGAACTATTTATTCGATTTATTCATAGTTTGAGTTTCATACTTTTTTTGGGATCGTCACAAATTTAAACAGCTGCTAAAAACACTAGACAGGGTTGGCGCATGTTATTCTAGAATTCCCATGATATGAGTTGAATATGAACTCACCTTTATATTCTCATGTAATTGTCCTCATGAGTTCATGACAGTCATGACCCATCCCTGGTGCGGACAGTCACCTCAAAAACTTGCTTATGGCTTTCTCTGAATGTAAAATGATGTAAAATAACTGTCAAAAATCGATGAAAACGTGAGGATTATTTATTTATATTTTCAGTTTTTGTAAGAAAAATCTTTACATGTAAGGATTTAGTTTTTACTATCAGTGACAATAATGTGAGTTAATGATTAAAATAATGTTCGTATGAAGGAAAACCGGTTGAAAATTTATACACGTAAAATATTTTGAAGCTGGAATACTTTAAAATTGAAATAATATAAAAGAATTTGAAAAAACTATGCAAGGAACACTCTAATACTTGAGTTAGTTATAATTATTGATGAAAAGGGAAATAATGTCTGCATGGTCGAGTAAGAAGTGCATTTTGTTTGTGTCCACGTTTCATAGAATGTGCAACTTAACTAACCTCATTTTCTCGTGACCTCCTTTGTCTCTCAGTGAATCCGGCTTATCTATTCGTATTCTAAAGTGATTTTTTTTATTAGTGTAATAAATAAGTTGCACTTTTTTCTTTATTTCACAAATTTTAAAGTGTTGTCGAAAATAGAGAGAGAACATTATTTTTAATCTTTATTTTCATATGACATGAATATTTCGTGTCTATATATATATAGATATATATCGATCCTATAGCTTTACTCTGTTGTTGAACTTTATTGCATTTTATTGTGAAAAGAAGAAGAGCACTATTTTCTTGAAAAAATGACAACTGTTAATAATTGGGAAAATACCTGCAGACTTTGTTCTGAAGTGAAGACTGAAATGCTATCAATTTATGGAATTGAAGGCGTGCAACGAAAAGTGGCTCAGAAACTTCGAGCTTGTTTGCCAGTTCTCGTTTACAAGACTGATCCTTTGCCCAAGCAAATTTGCCAATTTTGCGCTGCAAGACTTGATGATGCCTATGAATTCCGAGAATATTGCTTAAATGTTTACAAAACAATGCACACTAAACTCTTGGTACTTAAAAATTCAGAGTCTGTACAGATTTTTCTCAATGCCATGCAGAATTCTCCAGATCCTTGTCAAGTAAGTGTTTCTCAAATTTATCACTTGATTATCAATACAAAAGTTCTTATCCACATTTCTTTTAAATAGTTCAGTAAGAATTAATTATAATTCGTTCAAATTTAAATGGATTTTTTCGCGCTTAATGAATTCTATTCAAATATTTTAATAATCTCTATCAATAATATGAGCTGGGTTGCCACCGTTGCCACAGGTCAGAAAAGTCAGGGATTTTTATTAAAAGTACTGGAAAAAATTTTAGTTTTTGGAATTCATAAGAAAATTCTCAATTTTTCTCTTTTTTCTTTGCCTCATAAACGATAAAATTATTGTGTATATTCTTGAAATCTAATTTCACTTAAATATTTCAAAATTAATTCAATTTTAAAAGAATTGCGTTTACAATTTTCATAAGTAGATGAACTTTAAGGGTTTATACCACTTTGTCATCTTCAAAAAAACAAAAATTGAGGGGACGGCTTCTAAAAGGGGATACGCGTGGATTCTCACGTATAAGTATTGACGAATAGTGTGATTTTAAAACATTTTCAATTTTCAAATTCAATGAAATAAATTTACACACAATGAAAATGCGCACCTTTTTTTTAAGAAATAAATTTATATCTTTTTTAGTTTATGAAATAATGAGAAAAAACTAAATTTTTGAAAAACAAAAAATTTAAATGTTTTACGTCTTTAACTCGTGCTGGTGTTTTTGATTTTTCATATTTTGTAATCAAACAAAAACAAACTCACAGATTAAGGTTTCCTGAAACCAACTATATTTTTAAAACTTCAAAATCTTAATTAATAAAAAGTTTATTAATTTTTTCGAAAGACATTGCAAAAAATGTTTTTTTTCAACTTTCAACGCTTCGTTTATCTAGGAAATTTCAAGGTACGAAAAACTTTCAGTGAGAAAGTTTTTTATTACGATAGGGACAAGTTTTCTCTAAAATTTTATTAAAATGATATGGATATTTACAAAGTTGTTAATGTTTAAAGCGTATGGTACGTCAGATTTCTCGCGCCTGGAACGCATTGAGTCCCAAATTGTTAGTTTGGAACGCGTTAAAAATGTGTTTGTCAATATATATAATAAAATTTATTGAAATTTTTTTTTAACCTAAATATTTTATTTTGTTATATGTACAAAAGTCAACTAAAATAATATTTCTTATTTTTAAGTTTCTTGTTTCATTTAGTTCAAGGTTTCCACTCTTCGTCAAAATGATCTCGTTTACTACATTTAATGTTTTTAAAATAATTATTAAAAAACTCCTGTTCGTTTGGAGAAAGATATCGATTTCCTTAATTGTGATAAAAAAATCTCGAAATCCTGGGAAAATTGTATTGGGTTTTACCGAACCCTTTTTTTGTAGTCAACGGTCGCGGCAACCGCGACTCATCATGAATCTGAAGTTACCAACGTTGATTCAACGAAAAACTTAAATAAAAATTTTCTAAGGATATAAATTTTTCTTGTATATTTTCAACCCAAGTAAACTCTCCAAACCCTAAAATAAAAAAAACGTGGGTAAAAAAGTGATTTTTATTTTTTTTTGGCAAATTTTTTCCAAAAATCACGAACTTTAATTAAATTCTTAATTCCTCGCATCGGTAGTCATTTTTTTCTTTTGATAATTGTTTATTCTAATGTCGAGTGCCATTTAAAAAAAATTCCAAGTAGTTCCAAGTCGGGGAAAGCAGTGATTTTGGTTTTTTTGTCACGGATTTTTGAAAAATCCGAGCATTTCAAGTAATTTAATAATTCCTCGCCTCGGTAGTTACTTTTTTCTTTTGATAATTGTTTATTTTAATATTAGACGTTATTTAAAAGAAATTTCAAGTGATTCTAAGTCGGGGAAAGCAGTGATTTTGAATTTTTTTTTTGTCACGAATTTTCCAAAAATCTCGAAATTGCAAATTAATCAATGATTCCTCGCTTCGGTAGTCATTTTTTTCTTTTGATAATTGTTTATTTTGCCATTAGCCGTTATTTTAAAAAAACTTCAAGTGATTCCAAGTCGGGGAAAGTAGTGATTTTTATTTTTTTTTGGCAAATTTTTTCCAAAAATCACGAAATTTTAATTAAATTCATAATTCCTCGCCTCGGTAGTCATTTTTTCCTTTTGATAATTGTTTATTCTAATGTCGTGTGCCATTTAAAAAAAATTCCAAGTAGTTCCAAGTCGGGGAAAGCAGTGATTTTGAATTTTTTATTGAAATTCCAGGATTTTTGGAAAAAATTCGACAAAAAAAATAAATATCACTGCTTTCCCCGACTTGGAATCACTTGAAATTTTTTTAAAATAACGTCTAATGTCAAAATAAACAATTATCAAAAGAAAAAAGTGACTACTGAGGCGAGGAATGATTTAGCTCTCGTTTTTGTGACAACGTGCATCCTTCCCTGTTAATCGCCTTGACTGTCAGCTAGTGAATACTGTGAGATTACGCTACGGATATCGACGTAAGTTAAATAAATGTGTAATTAAGTAATTCCGTTGTCAAATTAATATCCTTCCCTCCCCTTTTTCCCTTGAAATAATTAGCCATTCGGGCAGCTAATTATAAATTGGCAATTCATTTGTGCCCTACTTTTCCGCAACCGTAGCATTTTTTCGGATGACTTTTCTCGTTTTGGTTCGTCTTGGAAGTATTACCATTCCCTGCAGAAGAACGGTTTGGTACTGCCACTTGAAGACTATTTTTCGAATTATTATTGTCACCTGAAGGTGAATGAATGAATTGGCAATTCATTTTTATGAATTTAAATGAAATTTCGGAATTTTTGGAAAATTCGTGACACAAAAAAAATTCAAAATCACTGCTTTCCCCGACTTGGAATTACTTAAAATTTTTCTTAAATAACGTGTAATATTAACATAAACAATTATCAAAAGAAAAAATTAACTACCGAGGCGGGGAAATTATTAAATTACTTAAAATTTCCGGATTTTCCAAAAATCCGTGACAAAAAAACCAAAATTACTGTTTTCCCCGATAAGGAAACGTACAAAATTTTTTTTAAATTGCGTCTAATATTAAAATAAACAATTATCAAAAGAAAAAAATGACTACTGGGTCGAGGAACTATTAATTTAATTAAAATTTCGTTATTTTTGAAAAAAATTCGATAAAAAAAATAAAAATCACTACTTTCCCCGACTTGGAATCACTTGAAATTTTTTTAAAATAACGTCTAATGTTAAAATAAACAATTATTATAAGAAAAAAATGACTACCGAGGCGAGGAATTATTAATTTAAATGAAATTTCGGAATTTTTGGAAAATTCGTGACACAAAAAAATTCAAAATCACTGCTTTCCCCGACTTGGAATTACTTAAAATTTTTTTTAAATAATGTGTAATAATAAAATAAACAATTATCAAAAGAAAAAAGTAACTACCGAGGCGAGGAATTATTAAATTACTTGAAACGCTCGGATTTTCCAAAAATCCGTGACAAAAAAACTAAAATTACTGTTTTCCCCGATTTGGAAACGTATAAAATTTTTTTTAAATAGCGTCTAATATTAAAATAAACAATTATCAAAAGAAAAAAATGACTACCGAGGCGAGGATTTATGAATTTATTTAAAATTTCGTGATTTTTGGAAAAAATTAAAAAAATAGAATAAAAATCACTGCTTTTCCTACGTTTTTTTTATTTTAGGGTTTAGAGGGTTTACTTGGGTTAATAATATACAAGGAAAATTTGTATCCTGAGAAAATTTTTTTTTAAGTTTTTCGTTGAATCAACGTTGGTAACTTCAGTTTCATGACTCATCTGGACACCATATTTTTCCGTAGAGTGAAAACAAATGACAACTTTGAGAAAAATAGCATATAAAAAAGGGTTACTTCCTTGAAGTGCACATGATAACAAAAAAAATCTATTGTATGAAAATGTTTGCCAAAATACAGATATAAATAAAATAAAATTTGTTTTAACTTCAAGTATTAAATACAATATGGAATTATTGTACAAATTATTTTGCGAATAATTCTGCAATATTTTTTTAAAAATAATTTCATATATCTTTACGTACAATACATGTTAGAATAAATAAACTGATGCTACTGTTATATAAAGTTAGATGAATCGTCATAATCCATAGTTAAATATTATTTAAAAATAATTACTTTGATATTAAAAAACCAGTCAAAAATTAAAATAATAATATTTTTACTATTCTTAATAAACTTTTATTAGTTAAATTAACATTACATTTATGTCAAAATAACTGTGTACTAATTATTTGTATGTCAGTAAATTTTAACTATTTCCAGACGATTTTGGCTAATTATTATTGGTTACTTCTTAATAATAATAATATTGCAAAAATTTATCAGTGACTTTAATAAAAATTGTATTTATTTTAAGTAAACAAATGAATAAACTAAAATAGTCTTAATATGTTCCATGCAAACGAACAATTCGGTACTCAATGCGTTCCAGGCGCGAGAAATCTGACGTACCATACGCTTTAAACATTAATAACTTTGTAAATATCCATATCATTTTAATAAAATTTTAGAGAAAACTTGTCCGTATCGTAATAAAAAACTTTCTCACTGAAAGTTTTTCGTACCTTGAAATTTCCTAGATAAACGAAGCGTTGAAAGTTGAAAAAAAACATTTTTTGCAATGTCTTTCGAAAAAATTAATAAACTTTTTATTAATTAAGATTTTGAAGTTTTAAAAATATAGTTAGTTTCAGGAAACCTTAATCTGTGAGTTTGTTTTTGTTTGATTACAAAATATGAAAAATCAAAAACACCAGCACGAGTTAAAGACGTAAAACATTTAAATTTTTGGGTTTTCAAAAATTTAGTTTTTTCTCATTATTTTATAAACTAAAAAAGATATAAATTTATTTCTTAAAGAAAAAAGATGCGCCTTTCCATTTTCCACAAACTTCGGTAATTCAAATTGCAATTTGTAATACTTTCAAAAATTGACCAAGTGGACAAAACTTAAACGCGAGAATCCACGCGTATCCCCTTTTAGAAG